CAGTTCTGGAACAACATCCTATGGAGAGATGAGACCGACATCAACTGTACCAGAGTGATGGGAAGAGAAGAGTATGGAGAAGGAACTGCTCATGATCCTAAGCATACCACCTCATCAGTGATCATGGTGGTGGTAGTGTCATGGCGTGGGCATGTATGGCTGCCAATGGAACTGCTTCTCTTGTATTTATTGATGATGTGACTGCTGACAAAAGCAGCCGGATGAATTGTGAAGTGTTTCGGGAATATTATCGGCTCATATTCAGCCAAATGCTTCACAACTCATTGGACGCTTCACAGTGCAGATGGACAATGACCCAAAGCAGACTGCAAAAGCAACCAAAGAGTTTAAGGGAAAGAAGTGGAATGTTCTGCAATGGCCAAGTCCATCACCTGACCTGAATCCGATTGAGCATTTCACTTACTGAAGACAAAACTGAAGGGAAAATGCCCCAAGAACAAGCAGGAACTGAAGACAGTTGCAGTAGAGGCCTGGCAGAGCATCACCAGGGATGAAACCCAGCGTTTGGTGATGTCTATGCGTTCCAGACTTCAGGATGTCATTGACGGCAAAGGATTTGCAACCAAGTATTAAAAAGTGAAAGTTTGATTTATGATTATTATTCTGTCCCATTACTTTTGGTCCCTTAACAAGTGGGAGGCACATATGCAAACTGCTGTAATTCCTACACCGTTCACCTGATTTGGATGTAAATACCCTCAAATTAAAGCTGACAGTCTGCAGTTAAAGTACATCTTGTTCGTTTCATTTCAAATCCATTGTGGTGGTGTATAGAGCCAAAAATGTTAGAATTGTGTTGATGTCCCAATATTTATGGACCTGACTGTATATATATTTGTACAGAATGCAGTCCTGGGGGGTATATATATATATATTTATTCCAATCATCTCAGTGATCTCTATGGCCATCCAGGCTGGTGACACGGCCATGGGCGATCATACCGGTATACATGGAGGGGCGGAGCTCGGAGACGGTCGGGGGCACATCTGTGTCAGGCTGGGGAAATGAAGAGAAATCAGTGACATGTGATCCCGGGTCCCTGCGGCACACAGATCGATCTCCGCCAGGCACACCTGGGTCTGCCGCTCGCCCTCCTCTGTGTGCCGGAGGTGATTAGGGAGATGAGAGGAGACACGGAGCCATCTGCCCCCCCCAGCACAGAGACAATGGCCAATGCAGAGATGGGGGGGGGGGCATGGCACCCCAATACTCTGGCCTTACTGGACTCATTTTATTTTTTCGCTTTTGTACAATGGACACAATCATGTTCCATATTAGTACATTCAGCATGCTGCAGAGGGGAGACCTTTGCTCTCTGTGGGTAAGCAGTGGTCTCTCTGCAGAGGTCTGGCATGCCACCCCTGCTGAGTCACAACTAGAGTTCTCCATTCAGCTGGGAGCACCTGCTTTGCTGATTGGAGAATTACAGCTCTTTCTGAGCAGGGGGTTGTTGGAGCTCTGCAGTGGAACCATGGCTTCCATTGTCTGTACAATTATTTAGGAAAAAAAACATTAAAAAAAACAATAAATATATACTGTATATATACAGTGCATGTATTTTTTTAAGGATCAAACTTCAGCCCTTTAGTTGCCTTTATCCAGCCTTTGAGGCTATTCTTCCCACTGACACCATCAATGGGGCGCTATTCCTCAAACTGACTCCATCAATGGGGCACTCTACCTCCAACTGACACCAATTATTGGGCACCATTCCTCCCACTGATACCATTGAGGGGACACTATTCCTCCCACTGATACCATTGATGGGACACTATTCCTCCCACTGACACCATTGATGGGGTATTATTCCTCCAACTGACACCAATTATAGGGCACCATTCCTCCCACTGACACCATCGATGGGACACTATTTCTCCCACTGACACCATCGATGGGACACTATTCCTCCCACTGATACCATCGATGGGGTATTATTCCTCCAACTGACACCAAAAAATTGGGCACCATTCTTCTCACTGACACCATCAATGGGACACTATTCCTCCAACTGACACCATCAATGGCGCACTATTCTTCCAACTGAAACCAATTATTGGGCACTATTCCTCCCACTGACACCATCAATATGGCACTATTCCTCCAACTGACACCATCAATGGGGCACTCTACCTCCAAATGACACCAATTATTGGGCACCATTCCTCCTACTGATACCATTGATGGGAAACTATTCCTCCCACTGACACCATCAATGGAGTATTATTCCTCCAACTGACGCCAATTATTGGGCACCATTCCTTACTTCTATGAGATTGGACATGTCATGGAGTTCACTTACTGTACATCTATGAGTTTGGATACGTCATGGAGTTCCCTAATATCTTTGAGATTGGACACATCAAGGAGTTTGCTTATGTTTATGAGACTGGACACGTCATGGGGTTCACATGTCTATGAGATCATACATGTTATGGAGTTCACTTATGTCTATGAGATTGGACACCTAATGGAGTTCACTTACATCTTTGAGATCCTACATGTCATGGAGTTCACTTATGTCTATGAGATTGGATACGTCATGGAGTTCACTTACATCTATGAGATCCTACATGTCATGGAGTTCACTTATGTCTATGAGATTGGATACGTCATGGAGTTCACTTACATCTATGAGATCGGACACGTCATAGAGTTTACTTACGTTTATGTGATAGGACATGTTATGGAGTTCACTTGTCATTGATTTTACTTATATTAATGAGATCGGTCACGTCAATGAGTTCCCTATTATGTACGAGACTGGACACGTCAAGGAGTTTACTTTTGTCTATGAGATTGGACATGGCTTGGAGTTCACTTACTTCTAAGAGATCGGACACGTCATGGAGTTCACTTATGTCTATGAAACTGGACACGTCATGGAGTTCACTTATGGTACATCTATGAGTTTGGACATGTCAAGGAATTAACTTTTGTCTATGAGATTGGACATGGCTTGGAGTTTGCTTACGTCTATGAGATCGGACATGTCATGGAGTTCACTTATGGTACATCTATGAGTGTGGACACGTCAAGGAATTTACTTTTGTCTATGACATCGAACACGTCATGGATTTCACTTACGTCTATGAGATCAGACACGTCATGAAGTTCACTTACATCTATGATATCGGACACGTCATGGAGTTCACTTACGTCTATGAGATCGGACACGTCATGAAGTTCACTTACGTCTATGAGATCGGACACGTCATGAATTTCACTTACATCTATGAGATCGGACACGTCATGGAGTTCACTTACGTCTATGAGATCGGACACGTCATGGAGTTCACTTACGTCTATGAGATCGGACACGTCATGAAGTTCAATTACGTCTATGAGATCGGACACGTCATGAAGTTCACTTACGTCTATGAGTTTGGACACGTCATGAAGTTCACTTACGTCTATGAGATCGGACACGTCATGAAGTTCACTTACATCTATGAGATCGGACACGTCATGGATGTAGTATTTGCTGATGCAGCCATTAGTTGCCGCCAAGTTGAGCAGGTACTCGTTCCTGGCCTTAGTGCATTTCAGCTTGTTCTCCGAATACTTGGCTTGTCGCTGGAAGACAGCAAGATGGAATAGGTAAGAACACAACGGGTGAAGATGTCAGCACATGCAGGGTTTTAATAGAGTGCCAAACACAGTCAACCGCCATCCTTTTTTTTTTTCTATCTCAGCAATAAAATACTGAAGATAACTCCTGGTGGTGAGGTTCATTAGGTCTGTGAGAGATCACAGAGCAGGAATTAATCCCTAGTCATGGTTTTATAGCCTATGTTTGGCAACAATTGTTACCCATCATTATCCGGAACTGCACCCTTACCTTTTCCTTCATCTTCTCAATCTTCTTCACAGAGCTCCGTCTCTGAGCTCGGTCTTCATGCCGCAGGGCGTTGGGCCCGAGGTCCGCTGATTTGCTAAACTGTTTCTCCTCCTGCTTTTCGGCATCCTTCAGCTTGCTCTCTGCATTGATGCTTTCAGCATGGTACATGTGGTACGTCTTCATCACCTGCACATGGGTCAAGAAACAAGGGAGAGGGGTTTTAAGACACAACTGGCCCATATAAAGGTCATCTCACAGATCTTATTCCCAAAGAGAGAGAAAGGCACCAAACCATTAGAAGCCATGTTTGTATCCATACCAATGAACTCCATTTCAAATATGGGGTTCAAGCAAACAAAATGCAAACATGGCGTCTGATGTTTTGGACACCCAAACGTGAATGCTTGTGGACATCTAACCATCATGCTCACTGTATGGTCAACTCTTTACTGGGTCTCCTTGATTGTCTAAGAAATGCAGGCTGATTATGGCTGATGGGAGAGGCTTTCAGGGTGCTGTACATAGCGTCCTAAGAAACATCAGAGCACCCTGCCTCAGTGCTTCAATCAAGAGCCCTCAGCCCTGATGCAAGTAGTGGTCTCGCTCTTGGCAGGAGTTATACAAATATCAAAATGCCTTGATGGGTGGGTTTCAGTGTGGAGCAATGCCTACACCTGATGTCCGCGGAGGTGCGAAAAAACAAAAAACCCGTAAGTGAATAAAAAAAACAGTGCAAAACACCAACAAAAAAAAAGTGCACTTAGGGGCGTGAGGCTCCTGACAGGGACTGAGGTTTCCACATGGTCCACCTAACCAAAAGACCTGGTGACCTCTTTCCTTGTGGCTAGCCGAAGCCGACCACCAAGTACTAGGTCAGGGGGCTCTCCCGAAGAGTGACCCCTCCAGGAACAGGAAGCAAAAGGCCACACATCCTCCCCCTAGACTTCAGGGCAGGCCCGAGGACCCACACCCTACCCATCCGTGAGGAAAAAAAAAAACACACATAAGTGAAAGGTGACCAAATGTGGGAGAAAAAATAAATAAATAGGTAAAAATAAAAAACATGTGATGTCTCCATGATTGAAAGATGTTCTCCAGCCAGGAAATGAGGTGGAGCTCTGTCTGACTTGCTGCAGCTTCTAATGCACATAGTGAGAAGCTCACAGTGTGCGGTGACATCAGAGTAAGTCATTTTAGCCCAATAGAGGAGCCGGTATTGGCCGGAGTTCTGCTTTAACTGTCACTGTTTTCTGTAAATACTTTTGCTATTTTAAACAGAATAAAATGTCCTCTGCTCTACAGACACCCCACCCCCACCCGGTGCTGGAGGGCAATGAGTGAACACCCAGGTATCTGTCATTCATTTTAAAGGTTATTGCTAAAATGTTGGTGTGACACATTACAGGTTCCCTGAAGAACATTACAGAGTGTACGCAGGGAGCCAACATAGCCTCTCCACCCATACCTGATGTTGCAGTTATGATGTGGACATGTTCTTCTTCCCATTGAGGGTTCCAGTAGTAGGATATCTTCCCCTGGGTTCCCAGCTCCACCCATTTGCTGCACCTAATACAATGGGGATCACCCACCCTGCCAGGGTTTTAGTTCCCTATGATGGGACACCCAGGACCTCATCACCTGAGTCCCAGAGAAATATGAAATCACAGTGTGGACATGTTCTTCTTCCCATTGAGGGTTCCAGTAGTAGGATATCTTCCCCTGGGTTCCCAACTCCGCCCACTTGCTGCACCCAATACCCACCCTGCCGGAGTGATGGGACTCCCAGGACCCATCACCTCAGTCCCAGAGAAATATGCCTTCCCATTGAGGGTTCCAGTTTAGGATAGTTCCCTAAGATGGGATCACCCACCCTGCCAGGGTTTTACCCTATGATGGGACACCCAGGACTCACCTGAGTCCAGAGAAATATGAAATCACAGTGTGGACATGTTCTTCTTCCCATTGAGGGTTCCAGTAGTAGAATATCTTCCCCTGGGTTCCCAGCTCCGCCCACTTGCTGCATCTAATACAATGGGGATCACCCACCCTGCCAGGGTTTTAGTTCCCTAAGATGGGACTCCCAGGACCTCATCACCTCAGTCCCAGAGAAATATGAAATCACAGTGTGGACATGTTCTCCTTCCCATTGAGGGTTCCAGTCCTGAGATATCTTCCTCTGGGTTCCCAGCTCCGCCCACTTGCTGCACCTAATACAATGGGGATCACCCACCCTGCCGGAGTTTTAGTTCCCTATGACGGGACACCCAGGACCTCATCACCTCAGTCCCAGAGAAAAATATGAAATCACAGCAAATGATGAAGTCCAATGGTGTCCGCCAACATTCGTGAAATATCCATATTGGACTCTTTACATTGGACTCCAGAAGGCCCCATGGAGACACTCACAGTATAAAGTTCATTGGTGACCTTCGCCAGTTCTTCATGCATCTGCAGCCCGATGTCCTTACTCTGTAAAAGATGAATTTACAATTAGAACTCTATCAAGATATTGAGATGAAAAGGGTACAGATGGTCTAACCCAAGGGAAGGCAACCCCCCCCCCCACCCCCTGGCATGCAAGCCTAGGCGGGCGCATGATGCCATCTGGCTGTCAATTACAAAGCCTGACCCCGTCCGCCTCCCTGATGTCACGGAGAACCTGCAGGTGGTTGAGGATGTCAGCATGTTGTGTGGAAGAAGCCCGTCCGCATACCTAGAGGGGTGTCCTGTGTTCCCAATGTACAGCATTTAGGGCAGATCTGAGGTCTGAAGTGCATGCATTGGGCGGATCTGAGGTCTGAGGTGCATGCATTGGGTGGATCTGAGGTCTGAAGTGCATGCATTGGGCGGATCTGAGGTCTAAGGTGCATGCATTGGGCGGATCTGAGGTCTGAGGTGCATGCGTTGGGACTGATCTGAGGTCTGAAGTGCATGCGTTGGGACTGATCTGAGGTCTGAAGTGCATGCGTTGGGACTGATCTGAGGTCTAAAGTGCATACATTGGGTGGATCTGAGGTCTGGAGTGCATGCATTGGGACTGATCTGAGGTCTGAAGTGCATGCGTTGGGACTGATCTGAGGTCTGAGTGCATGCGTTGGGACTGATCTGAGGTCTAAAGTGCATACATTGTGTGGATCTGAGGTCTGAAGTGCATGCATTGAGTGGATCTGAGGTCTGAAGTGCATGCATTGGGTGATCTGAGGTCTCGAAAGCATGCGTTGGGACTGATCTGAGGTCTCAAGTGCATGCGTTGGGACTGATGAGGTCTGAAGTGCATGCATTGAGTGGATCTGAGGTCTGAAGTGCATGCGTTGGGACTGATCTGAGGTCTGAAGTGCATGCGTTGGGACTGATCTGAGGTCTGAAGTGCATGCACTGGTGGATCTGAGGTCTGAAGTGCATGCGTTGGGACTGATCTGAGGTCTGAAGTGCATGCGTTGGGACTGATCTGAGGTCTGAAGTGCATGCATTGGGTGGATCTGAGGTCTGAAGTGCATGTGTTGGGGACTAATCTGAGGTCTGAAATGCATACACTGGGCTAATTTGAAGTTTGAAGTGTAAGCATTGGGGTTGACCTGAGGTCTAAAGTGCATGCATTAGGTCTGATCTGAAGTCTGAAATGCATACACTGGGCTGATCTGAAGACTGAAGTGCATGCATTGGGGCTGACCTGAGGTCTGAAGTGCATGCATTGGAGCAGATCTCAGGTCTGCAGTGCATGCATTGTGGCTGATCCAGGGTCTGACGTGCATGCATTTGGGCTAGTCTGAAGTGCATGCACTCCGCTGATCTGAAGTCTGAAATGCATGCACTCGGCTGATCTGAGGTGTGAAGTGCATGCATTGGGGCTGATCTGAAGTGTGTGAAGTGCATGCATTGGGGCTGATCTGAGGTGTGAAGAAGTGCATGCATTGGGGCTGATCTGAGGTGTGAAGTGCATGCATTGGGGCTGATCTGAGGTGAAGTGCATGCATTGGTGCTGATCTGAAGACTGAAGTGCATGCATTGGGGCTGATCTGAGGACTGAAGTGCATGCATTGGGGCTGATCTGAGGTCTGAAGTGCATGCATTGGTGCTGATCTGAGGCTGAAGTGCATGCATTGGTGCTGATCTGAGGTCTGAAGTGCATGCATTGGGGGATCTGAGGTGTGAAGTGCATGCATTGGGGCTGATCTGAGGTCTGAGGTGCATGCATTGGGGCTGATCTGAGGTCTGAGGTGCATGCATTGGGGCTGATCTGAGGTCTGGTGCATGCATTGGGGCTGATCTGAGGTCTGGGTGCATGCATTGGTGCTGATCTGAGACTGAAGTGCATGCATTGGGGCTGATCTGAAGACTGAAGTGCATGCATTGGGGCTGATCTGAGGTGTGAAGTGCATGCATTGGGGCTGATCTGAAGACTGAAGTGCATGCATTGGGGCTGATCTGAAGTCTGAAGTGCATGCATTGGGGCTGATCTGAGGTCTGAAGTGCATGCATTGGGGCTGATCTGAGGTCTGAAGTGCATGCATTGGTGCTGATCTGAGGTCTGAAGTGCATGCATTGGGGCTGATCTGAGGTCTGAAGTGCATGCATTGGGGCTGATCTGAGGTCTGAAGTGCATGCATTGGTGGGGCTGATCTGAGGTCTGAAGTGCATGCATTGTGGCTGATCTGAGGTCTGAGGTGCATGCATTGGGGCTGATCTGAGGTCTGGGGTGCATGCATTGGGTGGATCTGAGGTCTGGGAGTGCATGCATTGGGGCTGATCTGAGGTCTGAAGTGCATGCATTGGGACTGATCTGAGGTCTGAAGGGTGCATGCATTGGGACTGATCTGAGGTCTGAAGTGCATGCATTGGGACTGATCTGAGGTCTGAGGTGCATGCATTGGGACTGATCTGAGGTCTGAAAGTGCATGCATTGTGTGGATCTGAGGTCTGAAGTGCATGCGTTGGTGGAGTGATCTGAGGTCTGAAGTGCATGCGTTGGGACTGATCTGAGGTCTGAAAGCATGCATTGGGGCTGATCTGAGGTCTGCAGTGCATGCATTGGGGACTGATCTGAGGTCTGAAGTGCATGCATTGGTGGCTGATCTGAGGTCTGAAGTGCATGCATTGGGGCTGATCTGAGGTCTGAAGTGCATGCATTGGGACTGATCTGAGGTCTGAAGTGCATGCATTGGGGCTGATCTGAGGTGTGAAGTCCATGCATTGGGGCTGATCTGAGGTGTGAAGTGCATGCATGGGGGCTAATCTGAGGTCTGATGTGCATGCATTGGGGCTAATCTGAGGTCTGAGGTGCATGCATTGGGGCTGATCTGAAGGTCTGAAGTGCATGCATTGGGGCTGATCTGAGGTGTGATGTGCATGCATTGGGGCTGATCTAAGGTCTGCAGTGCATGCATTGGGGCTGATCTGAGGTCTGAAATGCATGTGTTGGGACTGATCTGAGGTCTGAAGTGCATACACTGGGACTGATCTGAGGTCTGAAATGCATACACTAAATCTGAAGTTTGAAGTGTAAGCATTGGGGCTGACCTGAGGTCTAAAGTGCATGCATTGGAGCAGATCCCAGGTCTACAGTGCATGCATTGTGGCTGATCCAGGTCTGAAGTGCATGCATTGGCTGATCTGAAGTCTGAAATGCATGCACTCGGCTGATCTGAGGTGTGAAGTGCATGCATTGGGGCTGATCTGAGGTCTGAAGTGCATGCATTGGGGCTGACTGAGGTCTGATGTGCATGCATTGGTGCTGATCTGAGGTCTGATGTGCATGCATTGGTGCTGATCTGAAGACTGATGTGCATGCATTGGGGCTGATCTGAGGTCTGAAGTGCATGCATTGGGGCTGATCTGAGGTCTGAAGTGCATGCATTGGTGCTGATCTGAGGTCTGAAGTGCATGCATTGGTGCTGATCTGAGGTCTGATGTGCATGCATTGGGGCTGATCGGAGGTCTGATGTGCATGCATTGGGGCTGATCTGAGGTCTGATGTGCATGCATTGGGGCTGATCTGAGGTCTGATGTGCATGCATTGGGGCTGATCTGTGGTCTGATGTGCATGCACGTGTTTTGTGTGTGCACCAGTTAAGCAATGTTTGTACTGCTCTTATTGCCAGCGGCAGGGTAGATTCATTCATTATTATATCATTACTGAGCTGAACTTGCTCTTGTGAGACTGTGACGGCAAAGCTTGAGGATAATACTTTTATTAGCACTAAGCACTGATTTATGAATGGAACCTGCAGCTTGTTTGCAGCCTTCATTCACACAGTAGCTGCTGTCAGTGCTCCTGGGACCCGGCTGTGGTACTGACAGCCCAGCCCTGCACATTGCATTTGGAGAGCAGCTGAGGGCCACCAGTTTGACAGCTGGATCCTCAGGAGACAGGAGTGACAGGAGAAGAGGTTCCCCTCCAGCTACACCTCCCAACACCATCACAATGCCCAAGATGGGCCCCTCTTCTGCCTCTGTCAGCGGAGCCCGGACATCAAATGTTTGGCTTTGTTAGATGGCCAGACAGCCCTCCCCACCATCAAAGCTTACCTTTTTGAAGAGACGGATGACATCCTCGCTGATATGTGACAGGCGAACAATGACGTTGTTGAGGAAGAGGTCATTCAAGGTGGCGTGGTCTTTACTTTCCCGCCGTGTCTGGGCCAGAACCAGATACCAGCAGTTCACCGGGGACAGGAGATGCTGATCCTTCCTGAAAAAAGCCCAACGATTAAAGAGCAACTCCGGGTGAGAGCTCTCCAACATAAATACTCCTTGTCTACATTTCCCAAAGAGCAGGGTTTTCACAGTGCCTCTACATGGGGCTACAGCCACTTGCCAACCATTCTGCATTCTTACATCAAGGTCTCCATCAGACTCCCCCCTTACCCCTTTACATCAGGGTCCCCATCAGAGTTCCCCCTTAAATCAGGGTTCCCATCAGAGTCCCTTCTTACACGAGGGTCCCCAATAGATCCCCCTCCTTTACATCAGTGTTCCCATCAAAGTTCCTCCTTAAATCAGGATTCCCATCAGAGCCCCTTCTTACATTTGGGTATCCATCAGAGTTCCCCCCTTACATCAAGGTCCTTAGCAGAGATCCCCCTTACATCAAGGTCCCCATCAGAGTTCCCCCTTACATCAAGGTCCTTATCAGAATCCCCCCTTACATCAAGGTCCCCATCAGAGTTCCCCCTTACATCAAGGCCCCCATTAGAGTTCCCCCTTACATCAAAGTCCCCATCAGAGTTCCCCTGTACATCAAGGTCCCCATCAGAGTTCCCCCTTACATCAAGGTCCCCATCAGAGTTCCAGCTTATATCAAGGTCCTTATCAGAGTTCCCACCTTACATCAAGGTCCCCATCAGAGTTCCCCATTACATCAAAGTCCCCATTGGAGTTCCCCCTTACATATAGGTTTCCATCAGACTCCCCCCTTACCCCATCAAGGTCCCCATCAGAGTCCCCCCACCCCTTTACATCAGTGTCCCCATCAGAGTTCCTCCTTTCATCAAGGTCCCCATCAGAGTTCCCCCTTACATCAAGGCCCCCATCAGAGTTTCCCCTTACATCAAGGTTTCCATCAGACTCCCCCTTACCCCATCAGAGTCCCCCCCCCCCCTTTACATCAGTGTCCCTATCAGAATTCCTCCTTAAATCAGGGTTCCCATCAGAGTCCCTTCTTACGCGAGGGTCCCGATTAGATTCCCCCCCTTACATCACAGTCCTCCATTACATGGGGGTGCTAAAGTGGGGACCATAGGGAGCCTCAGCTGACTTTAATCATTAATCTGTACTTTAACCCTAGCTGCGGGTCGGATAAAATCTTGAAGTAAGCCGGATGTGGCCCACGGGCCGTAGTTTGGAGACCCCGCTATTCGGCTTCTTCACACCAGATGTGGCAGGACCAGGGGTGGACTGAGAACTCATGGGGCCCCCGGGCAATAGGAGATCATGGGGCCCCTGTTCCCTTGCCCACACTCAAAAAAAGCCTATAAAGGTACCAGGGGCATTTCATGGGGCCCCCCACTGACCCCGGGCCCTCAGGCAGTACCCGAGTGCTTGAATGGTCAGTCCGCCCCTGGGCAGGACAGAGCTGGATGGCTATGACAGTGCTGGATGGCTATGACAGAGCAGTCCCACCACAGCATGGGAAAACGCCTTGTCTGCTATGTGTCCAGTGCAGGTGGTGTGTGCTATAAAGAAGTATGGCAGACTTTTCCAGTGCAGTGCTGTGACAATCCACTGCCTCCTATCAAGTGGGCAGCCAATAGAACTCAACCTGGGTGACTTTTCAATAAAGTTAATAAAAAAAAAAAAAAAAAAAAAAAAATGAACAGCACTGCAGTTATCCTGCCGCACCGCATACCAGCCACAGTGTTGCAACGCCGGTGTGAACAAGCCCTAAGAAGTAGAATTGTGCTATTCTGCTGCTGCACGTCTCAGGCGCAGTCTCTGACATTCTTACTTGAAGTGGTGCTGCTCCCGGGCGGTGCGGATTTTGGAGGAGAACCTCTCGGCCAGCTTCTCCAGGCTCCGGGAGTATTCCAGCTCGATCTCAGCTTTCCTGCGGAAGAACTCCTGCAGGTCCTGGAGGAGGGCCAACCGCGACTCCGACTGCTGCTCCAGGCACTTGAACTGCTCCACCAGCTGACTGCGGATCTCTGCAAAGACACAGCGGAGACAGGGGACGTTACAGCGCTCGGCCCAAAGTCACAACATTCATCTGAGAGCTGGCAGAAAATGAATTACAAAAAAAAAAAATGAAGCCTCGAGAAATAGGTCATCTAATTATACCGAACGCCAAGCCTCACAACAAACGTTTTCAATGTCATCGGCGCCTGGCGGAGATCTGGTCCAGGATCCCTTCACAATGCCAAATCCTGCATCTCCAAAAGTCACAAACGCATTGCAAACGATTTCAAGCTGAAGTTTAACCCCTTCCAGTCTGGACACTTTCCCCCCCTTCCAGTCTGGACACTTTCCCCCCCTTCCAGTCCGGACACTTTCCCCCCCTTCCAGTCCGGACACTTTCCCCCCCTTCCAGTCCGGACACTTTCACCCCCCTTCCAGTCCGGACGCTTTCACCCCCCTTCCAGTCCGGACACTTTCACCCCCCTTCCAGTCCGGACACTTTCACCCCCTTCCAGTCCGGACACTTTCACCCCCCTTCCAGTCCGGACACTTTCAACCCCCCTTCCAGTCCGGACACTTTCCCCCCCCCCTTCCAGTCAGGACACTTTCCCCCCCCTTTTAGTCAGGACACTTTCCCCCCCCCTTCCAGTCAGGACACTTTCCCCCCCCCCCTTCCAGTCAGGACACTTTCACCCCCTTCCAGTCCGGACACTTTCCCCCCCCCCTTCCAGTCAGGACACTTTCACCCCCTTCCAGTCCGGACACTTCCCCCCCCCCTTCCAGTCCGGGACACTTTCACCCCCCCCCTTCCAGTCCGGACGCTTTCCCCCCCTTCCAGTCCGGACGCTTTCCCCCCCTTCCAGTCCGGACACTTTCCCCCCCTTCCAGTCCGGACACTTTCCCCCCCTTCCAGTCCGGACACTTTCACCCCCCCTTCCAGTCCGGACACTTTCCCCCTCCCTTCCAGTCCGGACACTTTCCCCCCCTTCCAGTCCGGACACTTTCACCCCCCTTCCAGTCCGGACACTTTCCCCCCCTTCCAGTCCGGACACTTTCCCCCCCTTCCAGTCCGGACACTTTCACCCCCTTCCAGTCCGGACACTTTCCCCCCTTTCCAGTCCGACACTTTCACCCCCCCTTCCAGTCCGGACACTTCCCCCCTCCCCCCTTCCAGTCCGGACACTTTCACTCCCCTTTTAGTCCGGACACTTTCCCCCCTTCCAGTCCGGACACTTTCCCCCCTTTCCAGTCCGGACACTTTCCCCCCCTTCCAGTCCGGACACTTTCCTCCCCTTCCAGTCCGGACACTTTCCCCCCTCCAGTCCGGACACTTTCCTCCCCTTCCAGTCCGGACACTTTCCTCCCCCCTTCCAGTCCGGACACTTTCCTCCCCTTCCAGTCCGGACACTTTCACCCCCTTCCAGTCCGGACACTTTCACCCCCTTCCAGTCCGGACACTTTCACCCCCTTCCAGTCCGGACACTTTCACCCCCTTCCAGTCCGGACACTTTCACCCCCTTCCAGTCCGGACACTTTCCCCCCCTTCCAGTCCGGACACTTTCACCCCCTTCCAGTCCGGACACTTTCACCCCCTTCCAGTCCGGACACTTTCACCCCTTTCCTGCCCAGGCCAATTTTCAGCTTTCAGCGCTATCACACTTTGAATGACAATTGCGCGGTCATGCAACACTGCACCCATATTAATTTTTTTTGCATTTTTTTTGAGACGGATAAAACTTTATTTTGGTGGTATTTATTCACCGCTGGGATTTTTTTTTTTTGCTACAGTATATAAATGAAAAAGTCCAAAACATTTTTTAAAAGAGTGCTTTTCTTTTAAAATTTTGCAAATAAATAATCTTTCTTCATAAATCTTGGCCAAAATGTATTCTCTGATGGGGACCCTGTAATAAAGGAGGCACTGATGGAGACTCTGATATAAGGGGGACTCTGATGGGGACCCTGATATAAGGGGGACTCTGATGGGGACCCTGATATAAGGAGAACTCTGATGGGGACCCAGATATAAAGGACTTTAAAGGGGACCCTGATTTAAAGGAGCTCACTGATGGGGAATCTGATGTAATGGAGCACACTGATGAATACTCCGATAGAGACCCTGATTTATAAGAGGGAATCTGATGGGGACCCTAATATAAGAAGGGCTCTGATGGGGACCCTAATATAAGGGGGTCTCTGATGGGGACCCTGATATATGGGGGATTCTAATGGGGACTCTGATATAAGGGGGGGGACTCTGATGGGGACCCTGATATATGGGGGATTCTAATGGGGACTCTGATGGGGACCCTGATATAAGGAGAACTCTGATGGGGACCCAGATATAAGGACTCTGATGGGGACCCTGATTTAAAGGTGCACACTGATGGGGACTCTGATGTAATGGAGCACACTGATGGGGACTCACATGGGGACCCTAATGTAAGGGAAGACTTTTATGGGGACTCTGTTGTGAAAATGGACTCCTAGGGGGACTCTGATGAGAAAAGGACAGACTGAATTTATTTTTGTTCCACCATCATTAAGAGCTAAAGCTTATCTAGGATTTCTATTTGTAAAATACAGTATAGACTGTGGGTCGCTCTCAGGAGCTCAGTGACTCCAAGCGTGGTCCCGTGATAGGTGGCTCCCTGTGCAATAAGTCCATCCGTGACATTTCCTGGCTACTAAATATTCCACGCTCAACTGTTAGTGGGATTATAACAAAGTGGAAGCAACTGGGAACAACAGCAACTCAGCCACCAAGTTGTGGTAGGCCACGTCACATGACAGGGCGGGGTCAGCGCATGCTGAAGCGCACAGTGCGCAGAAGTCACCAACTGTCTGCAGAGTCAATAGCTAAAGACCTCCAAACTTGGTGCGGCCTTCAGATGAGCCCAACAACAGTGCGTAGAGAGCTTCATGGAATGGGTTTCCATGGCCGAGCAGCTGCATCCAAGCCTTCCATCACCAAGTGCAATGCAAAACGTTGGATGCCGTGGTGTAAAGCACGCCGCCACTGGACTCTAGAGCAGGAGAGACGTGTTCTCTGGAGGGACCAATCATGCATCTCTGTCTGGCAATCCGATGGATGTTTCTGGGTTTGGCGGTTGCCAGGGGAACGGTACTTGCCTGACTGCATTGTGCCAAGTGTAAAGTTTGGTGGAGGGGGGGATTATGGTGTGGGGTTGTTTTTCAGGGGTTGGGCTTGGCCCCCTATTTCCAGTGAAGGGAACTCTCAAGGCGACATTTTGGACAATTTCATGCTCCCAACTTTGTGGGAAGAGTTTGGGGATGGCCCCTTCCTGTTCCAACATGACTGCCCACCAGTGCACAAAGCAAGGTCCATGAAGACATGGAGAAGCCAGTTTGGGGTGGAGGAACTTGACTGTCCTGCACAGAGTCCTGACCTCAACCCCATAGAACACCTTTGGGATGAATTAGAGCGGAGACTGCGAGCCAGGCCTCCTCCCCCCGACATCAGTGCCTGACCTGACAAATGTGCTTCTGGAAGAATGGTCCAACCTTCCCATAGACACCCTCCTAAACCTTGTGGACGGCCTTCCCAGAAGAGTTAAAGCTGTTATAGCTGCAAAGGGCGGGGCCAACTCAATATTGAACCCTACGGACTAAGACTGGGGGGCCATTAAAGGTCATGTGTGTGGAAAGGGCGGGGCCAACTCAATATTGAACCCTACAGACTAAGACTGGGGGGCCACTAAAGGTCCTGTGCGTGGAAAGGGCGGGGCCAACTTAATATTGAACCCTACAGACTAAGAATGAAATGCCATTAAAGTTCACGTGCGTCGGAAAGGCCGGCGGCCCAATACTTCTGGAAGAATGGTCCAACCTTCCCATAGACACCCTCCTAAACCTTGTGGACGGCCTTCCCAGAAGAGTTGAAGCTGTTATAGCTGCAAAGGGCGGGGCCAACTCAATATTGAACCCTAAGGACCAAGACTGGGAGGCCATTAAAGTTCATGTGCATGTAAAGGCCGGCGGCCCAATACTTTTGCCAATATAGTGTAGTTTGGAGTCAAGGTCAAGGTCCCTAGTTCTGTGGAATTTTGTTTTGGCCATAAAAACCTGACATGGGTTCTAACCCTTTCCAGCTCCATTCCATAAACATTACAAAAGGACAGAATCTGGTGACTAGAGGATGAAGTCCTGCCAGAGCGCTGGAAACAAAATCTGCAAAATCTGACAACATTCCCCTACAGTATATAAGTTACAGAGAGCGGACCTCCTGGCCTCAGCACAACCGCAGAGTTTGTTGGGTAACCTCACCGATTCACTGATCTCACTTTTCCAGGAACTGCTGTTTATGGCCCAGTCACATCTGTGCAGTTGCCTGCGGGGTAACACATGGATTTTACTGCAGGAAAATACAGGAAGGGTTTAAAGAGACTTGTATAGGCTTGCCACTGGATCTCCGAACTGCAAGCCAAAGGAAAAAAAAAAAAGAGGCAAAACCAAAAAAACCTGTGCAGCAATGCACCTTAATTGGGTCTCTAGGAATTGATTGTCCTGCTGAAGATGCATTTGGCATGTTCAGTAGTTTTCCTCTAGTTGAACCTCACGATTAGTCCACCTACACAAAAATACATCCCAATGTTCATCAATGCCAAAACACAAGCACAGAGATGGGTTCAAGTAGAATGGGACCCAAGGAAAGGGAGCGGCAATGTGGCATCAATATCATTTTCTACTGAGTTCTCTCTACCTGGTATTGAAAGGGGTCTCATCCAAACTTCGGTATTGGATCCGAACTTCAGGTTTACAGGAGTATGTGCCAGAATATCCAGATAAAGGAATGATTCTACAACAAGTATCCTACAATTAGAGGTTGGGAAGTGGAGGCACAATGCAGCAACAGGACCAACTTGGTCCAATTTATGGCGAGACCCAAAAAGGTTCCAAAATACAGAAAAATATCTATTGCTGCTTGCAGTGAATTCAAAGTGTGCCCTAAAAAGAGGAGCATACCATCAGCATAGAGAAGAGCTTCTAGCAGAGGGCCAGTTTACTGT